GTTTAAGAAGTCCTCCTTGTTTGACAGTGTAGCAGTAAAACTAATCCAAGTATGATTTTTTTAAAGCAGTTGTGCACTCCTCTTGCAGTGGAATCATAGATAAGTAGTGCTGGAAGGGACTCCTTTTAACTTGCCCTAGGTAAAGCAGGGGGATGACAGCACTGTCAGTGTCCTGCTAATATAAGGACAGAAAAAATGCTTGTTAAAATATGCTTAAAATCCAAGGAAGAGGACCATGCCTTCCATTTCAGAGGAAAGTAAAATAACCTCACACTCTGTGTCCTGATCTCAAATATGGTGATTGGTCTCCATGAACAGAGAAGCAAGACCCTCTAGCCTGAAATCTGTTGGTTTTCTCAGTCCCAGCAGGAGTATCAACACGCCCCAGTCAAAATCTCCAGTCTTGGCTGTGGCCAACACCCAATGCTTCTGAGGAAGGTGGGGGGGGGAAGACAACCCAGACACTGTATGGCAACAAGCAGATCCTGAAAACATGGGATAATCAGACCCTTCTATTCTACTCTGAGGACCCCAAATAGAGTTCAATACATTGCATAACCGAAATAAGAGACCAGAATTCCCTTTTCTGTCATTTGTTTCCTTTCTTAAACTTGCCCCAGCTCCTTTAATCTTTTTGCATAACCAAGCTGGTTATGGAGTTCTGCTTCATTCTTCTGCTACTACGCATGGTAGTCTCCTATTTCCACCTTCTGTGGCCTGCTTTGGACTGCAAAACTCTTTATGGCAATGCTCTGGGAGGTCTTGGGGTCAGTCTCCTAGCTTTTGAGTTGTATTCACAGTACACTCCAGGCATTGCTACTCTTGAATCATCCCTGATCAGTGTTTATCCAAGCTCATTTTCAAAACTGTCAAAGGAGATTCTGGAGCTTCCCTAAGCAGTCGGTTCCACTGCCTCACTCTAACAGTGAGAGAAGTTTTTTCCTGATACCCAATTTAAGCCTACTGTGTTGTAATTTAAAGCCATTTCTGTGCATCCTGCCCCCTCTGCAGCAAAAGAGACATAAGTTGTCTCCCTCTTCATAGCAGCTTTTTGGATATTTGAAGGCTACTGTCATGTTTCCCCTTAATTGCCTTTCCTGCAAGCTAAACATGCTTATTAATTGTCCCCACCTTTCCTTGTATGGTTTGTCTCCAGTCCTCTGTATCACTTGTTCCATCTGCCTTTGGACTGTCCAACTTCTCCACATCTTTTTCAAAATGCAGAGCCCAGACCTGCACACGGTACTCTAGATGAGACCTAACCAGCACCAAGTAGAATGGCACTGTCACCTCCTGTGGCTTACACCTAATAGTTCGGTAATTTAATATAGATTGATTCTGGTTATTTGGGTCTTGGAGCTCTGTTCTGAGTTGGGTTAGCATGTATTTTCTCATCTAATGTTCTTTCTTTGTCTAGGGAAGGCAATTGATTAAACTTTCCAGTGCTAGTAAAGAATAGGATCTATGACCAGAAACATAGGAAATATATGCTGAGAAACAGTCATATTGTTTTAGTTGCTGAGCTCTAGTTCTTTCCATTCCTGAGACGCATTAAGTTTTACTGTTAAGTATTCAATATAAAATATTAATCTGAAGTGTTGTCTCTTGGGCATGGTTTAGATCGTGGAATTTACAGTTCACAAGTACTGAGCCAATATGTACCATAGGAAAATTCAGGATGAAGGCTGCCATTCTTATCTTTGCAGGGGACGCATTCAATGTTATCTTCAACTTACTTAATTGTACAAATAAATGCCAGCAATTAACGTTTCAAAACTATGAGGTACGAACAAGGCCTTGGAAGACCTTTGGGAAACCAGCATTTTAACACAGGAACTTTGGCCTTGGAGATGAATCTAACCTAATTCAGTTACACAGTCAAAAGAAAGAAGCAGTGTGCTTGGTAAGGCATTCTAAAGCACAGAAGAAATCATTTTAAACTGGCAGGAGGTGATGTTAAGTTGTAGCATCTCTCTTGCAAGTTTTGCTTTTTCCATTGAACACTTTAAAGCACATAACTTTGGAGTCAGGGACGAGTGTTATGCTTCTTACAACTAAATCTGGTGGACATTAGTAGTGCTGAAAGTATAATGCCATTGGCTTTTAATCTTGTTCACTCTGGTGAATTACAGGATCCTGATTTTGCTATTTTGCAATTCTGCATTTGGTAGCATCAACAGATTCCATGTTTTAGACAGGTCTCTTACTCTTGCCTCTACCCACACCTATTTAGAATAGAGTTAGATCAGGGGTAGGCAACATTTTTTGGCCAGAGTGCTGAAAACCCCCACAATGCCTACCTTGGAAGGTGCCGGAGTGCTGGCATGCCAGAAAAACAAAATGAGGGCGGGGGTACATGGCAGGATGCCCTGCTTGTGCCCCTGCCCCCCAGCCCTGCTGCCTTGTGCCCCCCACCCAAAGCCCTTGCCCCCCAGCACTGCTCATGACCCTTGCCCCTCAGCCCTACTGCCCTGTGCCCCACACCCAAAGCCCTTGCCTCCCAGCCCTGCTCATGACTTTTACCCCACACCCAAGCTCCTGCCCCCCAGCCCTGCTCATGACCCTTGCCTCCCACCCAAAGCCCCTGCCCCTCAGCCCTGCTGCTCCCTAGCCCAGGCTCTGTGGCTGTCAGCAGCTATGCAGAACCTGGGCCAGCTGCAAACATCTGCTGCCTCTTGGCCCCGGCCATGGCCCCAGCTGTCTTCCAGTCCCAGACCCGGCCCCAGGCTCCAGGGAGGCAGCACATACTGGCGATGCTCCCTGCTGTGCTGCCCTCACTGCTTCTGCAAAGCAGCATTGGAACCTGGCATGGCAGGGCACAGTGGTGGGCACAGAAAGCTGCCTGCTCCCAGCTCCCTGCTGCCCTGCCACACTTGCCCATGCTGCTCCTGTGCACACTGGGGAGCAGCTCAGGGTTGTGCCCCTCTCTGATGCCCCCACCTGCAGGGGAAGTATGGCAGGGCAGTGGGGAGCTGGGAGCAGGCAGGCAGCTTTCTCCACCCCCCAGTGTGCCCTGCTATGCCGGGTTCCAACACTGCTTTGCAGAAGTGGTGAGGGCAGTACAATGGGGGGAGCATCGCCAGTATGTGTTGCGTCCCTGGGGCCGGGTCTGGGGCTGGGAGGCAGATGGGGCTGGGGCCAGGGTGGAGAGGCAGCAGATGTTTGCAGCTGCCTTAGGTTCTGGGTAGCTGCTGATAGCCACGGTGCCCAGGCTGCTCCCAGCAGGGCTTGCAGCATCCCAGCTGCCTGCTCCTGGCTGGCCGCAGCTACCCAGACCTGGAGCTGACTGCAGCCGGGAGGCTGCAAACAGCTGCTGCCCTCCCGGCCCGGGCTCTGGGAAGGCAGCAGGTGCCGGCACTGCACCCATTGGAGCCAGGAGGCAGCAGCTGTTTGTAGTCTCCAGGCTGCAGCTGGCCCCGGCTCTGAGTAGCTGCTGATAGCCACGGTGCCCAGGCTGCTCCCAGCAGGGCTTGCAGCATCCCAGCTGCCTGCTCCTGGCTGGCCGCAGCTACCCAGACCTGGAGCTGACTGCAGCCGGGAGGCTGCAAACAGCTGCTGCCTCCCTGGCCCCAACGCGTGCTGAAGAAAATGGCCTCATGTGCTGTGCTTAGCACGTGTGCCGGGGGTTGCCGACCCCTGAGTTAGATGATCACAACTAGAGTGCTGGTAAAATGCTCATCTCTATCACAACCTCTGCTGTTACAGCAAGAGATGTAAAATATAAATCTGAAATTTGCCATTGTGGATAGAGCCTGTGAAAGGTGGAGGATATGTGAACATGTTTTATTAGATAATGCAGGCCAAGAGTCCTGTCCAGCTCCTACTCAGTAAGCTTGAATGCTGACTGCCCCCCAGCCAGTTACTGTCCTGCCTCCAGTCTCTCCTTTTTGTGAAAGGTCACTGAACGGGTGGTCTCTGGACAGCTCCAGGTGCATCTGGATGCCATCAGATTTCTGGACCCTTGCCAATCTGGCTTTTGCCCTGGATATAGCACAGAGACTATGCTCATGGCATTGGTCAAGGATCTTCACTTGGAGATCAGCAGGGGTAATTGTGCCCTGCTGATCTTACTAAATCTTGCAGTGGCCTTTGATACAGTTGACTGTGAATGAAATGCTGATAAAACCTGGTTAGTATTCATGGGACCACTCTAAATTGGTCCTGCTCTTTTCTAGCAGGGAGCTCCCAGAGAGTAGTATTTGGTAAATGCCTAAATAAAGGTAAGCCCAGCATTTAGGAAGGCTTCCTAGGATACAAGGAATTATTTTTACTGAGGTGACTGGTTGGGCATGGAAAAAAAAGGCATTATCAATGTACTTTTAATTTTATGGCTAGTCAAGTTTTCTGTACCTGAATGTCTTAGGCTAGTGAAGCCACACTAATAGATTTTGTACCTGATGTTGGCTATGTAGGGCGGGGAAGTCTAGCAGTAGGACAGTGGCCAGAATGACACAATTGCAAACAAAATTGTTGCACAAAAGCTTAGAGAATATCGTAAAATAGCTTACAAATCTGATAGACCTACAAGTGTCATTTATTCAGTTCTGTTATCATTTGACAAGCCTGTTATCGGAACAGGCATCAAGAATTGCACAGTAAATTATGCATCAATTTTTAAATATTCTTTTAAGTAGAATAATATTATAGAAAATGGTTCCTACAACAGCAGATATAGCAACCTTGTGGGGAAAAAAATGGCATCTGTGTAGCAAATTTTAGTTGAGGGTATGCAGCTAGGGGAAAGATTCTTTTATCTACTTCCTTCAAAACAGAGAAACATTTCTTGTTTGTGGGGAGCCTGGTTCTCAAATTTGGTATTCAAATATTTGTATTTAAAGTTTTCTTTAAAGGGTAATTGGCTTCTTTTCTTTAGATATACAGTGCAGTGAAGTCTGGGTAGTAGAGATGCACCAATATATTGATCACCTATTGGATTGGCACCAATAAAAGGAAAATTAACGTTATTGGCAGTCAGCTTTTTTTGGCCAGTGTAGTCGATAATGTCACCAGTAAATGCTGTGTGCATGAGCGCAGCTGCAGCATGCATGTAGCCAGGAATGCAGCCCAGCACCTTGGAGAGCAGTGTCTGGTCGGTAAAGTGGTGGGGGCGGGGCGGCAGAGCAAGGCCTCTATGGTGAGGGAGGGAGTGGAGCTGGGGCAGGGGCAAGCACTGCACAGCCAGGGCAGTGAAAGTGACCCCATCAGGAGTGGGACGGAGCTGCTCAGCCTTTTCCCAGCAGTGGGTACGGGGCTGGGGGTGTGCTTGGGATAGGCGGGAGTGGGGTGGGTGGCAGTGGCATTGGTGATTTTGAAGTGACACTAGCTCACCCTGTGGCCACCCCTCCCAGCACTGCTGCCGCCTGCCCCAAGCACAGCCTTGGCCCAACCGTGACCCCCATGCTTCCCCGAGGGGTGTGCACAACGGTGGGGTGCCACCTCGCCCCACCCCACCATGCCCCCTGGATGAGCCCACCCATGGCTCTGCCCTGCTTCCAGTAGGGTTGCTTTCATTGCCCTGGCTGGGCAGCATCTGCCCCTGCCCCTCTCCTTCCCTCACCATGGGGGCCTTGATCTGTTGCTCCCACCCCTCTTCGTCCTGTCCCGTCCTGTCCCGTCCCGTCCCCCGACCCCGACTTACCAGCAGGGAGCTGTTCTTCAAGCTGTCAGGCTGCATATTGCCCCTGTACCAGCCGATATGGCTGGTTAATAATCGGCCGTCGGTATCAGCCAAAAAAATCTTTATTGATGCACCCCCACTGGGTAGACTTCTGGGGAGATGGAACAGCACATGTATCTGACTTGAGTCCAAATGGAAATATTTGCTTTCTGCCATAGTCTCTTTGGAAATGCAGTTTAGGGGGGAGTGTTTACCTAGAATGCAATGTGCAGTACATCAGAGGGTTCAAACACTCCAGCAGCGCTGCAGGAAGAACTGCAGTGTAGGAGCCCATTTGAATTATCATCTTCTGCCATTTCTTTAACATTCCCATTTTTGCCTTCTGGCTGTGAATACCAGCCAGTGCACATGAGACTACATGTGATCTTACAATTTGCCAATAGGCAGCCAGAGAATTCACTGACTGAATTTTTTTGTTTTTTATACCCTATATTTCCAGTTGGCCTCTACCTGTCAGTTACAGGAAAACATGCATTATTTATCTTTACTGTAAAATTAAGAAGCTATGTGGCTGCCTGGTTTAGTGCTTTTTGTTCAGGTGGACCTAGTTTATACAAGATACAGTGCTTAATTTTAACAGCAATATAGCTTTTCTACACATACCAAGTATTTAGTTTGGTGTTTGTCAGGTCACAAACTGCAAGTCTATGTTCCTTCTTTCTTCCAGATAGTTATTTTCACTAGGTTTTAGATAAGTGACTCAATTGCCTGGTACAGACATTAGTGAAGTAATTATCTAACTTGAATAATTCCTATTTTTCCACAGTTATTTTCCTTTGTAGCTTTCGTTTGTGAAGAAGTGGTGGAGAGCTGCACCTTATGCGGCGGCCTTTACTTCTTTGAATTTGTAAGCTGCAGTGCCGTGCTTCTGAGCCTCTTGCTACTGGTCGTGTATTGCACTACTTTGTATGAAAGATTTGGGGATGACAGTATCAGAAAAACAGTAAGGATGATATTTATTTTTCTTTAAATTTAAGTTTTCTGTCATAATCCACCTTTATATACGAGTTTAGAGGATTGATATTATTTGATAACAAGGTATATACAGTGATTTGCTTGTTCTTCCATGTGCCTCTTTAAAACATCATGTTACATAGGAGCATAATCAACTTTAAGAATCTCCTTTACATAAACAATTTTTTAACATTTTTATGTTAGCAATTATGAGATACGGTGCTTCATTTTTGGGCCTCAAGAACTAGGAAGACCACTTGGCTCTTCACGGAAACAGGCTGTTCTTTTTAGTCTCTCTTTAGTTGGGGTTGCTCTTTTCCATGCCCCTGATTTGGTGGGTAAGAGAGAAAGTGAAGAAAGGGGTTGGTGACTGCCTGAAAAGTCCTGTGCCAGTGCATGTTGTTCTGAGGAGGAAGGTGTGGTAAACATGATTATTTGGTGGGACATCCAAATAAGATTTCCTTGGATGAATAACAGACTGGGGGTTAATAGGTTTAGTTAAGGGTCACTAAGCATATTTCTTTAAACAGGTTTTCTGAGCGTACACGTGCCTCTCCTTTGGTATCATTAGGTTTCCTAGATTAACGTAAAAAGAGACTATTATGAACAACTAGTCTGACTTGCTACATAACACAAACCCTTTAAAAGAAAGAATTTAACCCTTTCACTTCTGGTTCTGCAGGAGATTGCTATGTTTGTTTTAACCTCAGTTGTGTAAAGTGAGTTAGGATTTCTTTGGTATGAAAAACACTATTTAAAAAAAAAATCCAGCCCTATTCCAAGATGGGCTCATCTGAGCTTTCTTGTCTCTAATAAACTAGAAGGAAAAGAATTAGTAGAACTTCTGTACAAGACGTGCAGAGTCCCTCCTTCTGTGCATGTGCATACACTCTCCCTTGCTGTTCCTGTCTCTCTCCCATATTGCAAACAAAAATGGTCAAATGGGTAGCCATAGGTCAGGTTTAACAAAAGGTGAGACCAGGAAATATATTTGCTTCTTTGCTAAATTCTAACGGGAATAGTTTCTTTCAAAAAAGCCAGATATTCTTTACTAACCCAAACACAGTTTTATTGAGAATTCAAGAGCAAAACTGATTTCATTTATTTATATATGTCATGCTAAGAGAGATTAAGAGAATATGTAAATATTCTCATTTTTAATAATTCTAAAATCCTTCGTGTTAGTGGCATGGATACAGACCTTTGTTTACCAAAACTCTTACAAGCAAACAGTCTTTAATTAAATTCATAGATTCATAGATGTTAGGGTCGGAAGGGACCTCAATAGATCATCGAGTCCGACCTCCTGCATAAGCAGGAAAGAGTCCTGGGTCTAGATGACCCCAGCTAGATACTCATCTAACCTCCTCTTGAAGACCCCCAGGGTAGGGGAGAGCACCACCTCCCTTGGGAGCCCGTTCCAGACCCTGGCCACTCTAACTGTGAAGAAGTTCTTCCTAATGTCCAGTCTAAATCTGCTCTCTGCTAGCTTGTGGCCATTATTTCTTGTAACCCCCAGGGGCGCCTTGGTGAATAAATACTCACCAATTCCCTTCTGTGCCCCCGTGATGAACTTATAGGCAGCCACAAGGTCGCCTCTCAACCTTCTCTTGCGGAGGCTGAATAGATCCAGTTTCTCTAGTCTCTCCTCGTAGGGCTTGGTCTGTAGGCCCTTAACCATACGAGTGGCCCTTCTCTGGACCCTCTCCAGGTTATCCGCATCCCTCTTGAAGTGCGGCGCCCAGAATTGCACGCAGTACTCCAACTGCGGTCTGACCAGCGCCCGATAGAGGGGAAGTATCACCTCCTTGGACCTATTCGTCATGCATCTGCTGATGCACGATAAAGTGCCATTGGCTTTTCTGATGGCTTCGTCACACTGCCGACTCATGTTCATCTTGGAGTCCACTAGGACTCCAAGATCCCTTTCCACTTCCGTGCCACCCAGCAGGTCATTCCCTAGGCTGTAGGTGTGCTGGACATTTTTCCTCCCTAGGTGCAGCACTTTGCATTTCTCCTTGTTGAACTGCATTCTGTTGTTTTCTGCCCACTTGTCCAACCTGTCCAGGTCTGCTTGCAGCTGTTCCCTGCCCTCCGGCGTGTCCACTTCTCCCCATAGCTTTGTGTCATCTGCAAACTTGGACAGAGTACATTTCACTCCCTCGTCCAAGTCACTGATGAAGACATTAAAGAGTATCGGTCCAAGGACCGAACCCTGCGGGACCCCACTTCCCACACCCTTCCAGGTCAAAACCGACCCATCCACCACGACTCTCTGCGTGCGGCCCTCCAGCCAATTCGCCACCCACCGGACTGTGTGGTCATCCAAGTCACAGCCTCTTAACTTGTTCACCAGTATGGGGTGGGATACCATATCAAAGGCCTTCCTGAAGTCTAAGTATACGACATCCACCCCTCCTCCTGTGTCCAGGCGTTTCGTAACCTGGTCATAAAAAGAAACTAGATTGGTCAGGCACGATCTGCCTGCCACGAACCCGTGCTGGTTTCCCCTCAGCATAATTTGTCCTGCCGGGCTCTCACAAATGTGAGCCTTGATAATTTTTTCAAAGACTTTGCCAAGGATGGAGGTGAGACTGACTGGTCTATAGTTGCCCGGGTCCTCCTTCCTCCCCTTTTTGAAAATGGGGACCACGTTGGCCCTTTTCCAGTCCTCCGGGACTTGGCCCGTGCGCCACGAGCTTTCAAATATTCCCGCCAGTGGCTCTGCAATGATGTCGGCCAGTGCCTTCAGCACCCTCGGATGGAGGGTGAAATGTGAAATGTGAACAAACATGCCACGCAGACCTAAAGAAGGGTATTTTATGCCCCAAAACTTGTCTAACATCTCTCCCAACTATACAGGTAGTCCAGTAAAAGATAGTGTTAAGAGCCTTGCTTCCACATATTTCGTAGATCATCCCAACTACAACACTGCAGCCTGACTGCACAAACACATCTTCGCTTATGGGGATTTCTTTCGTTCTCAACTTAAATAGCAAATTGAAACCTCACCTGAGATTTCCCCTGACTTACCCCCACTTCTCATATTTTATCTTGTAAAAGATCCTCTCTTGCCTTTTACACTGTCTGCATTTCATTCTTATGAGTTGGAGCTAATGAGATGATTTGCAATGAGACTGATCTTACTTTTGGGATGAGTCAGTAGCATAGATCTGCACATCTGTGCAAAGGGCTTTAGGACTTAATGTTCTGTCATGCAAATTATCAGTGCTCCTAAATTATATCTTTGGGGACAGTATGTTGCCAGCACATACTGGTGGGTTTATCTTGCAAAATATTTCATTTAATTATTTAGAATGTGTCTGTTTCTTCAATTTAATTTATACAATTGTTTCTTGCCCCTTACCCACCTCCTTTCAGACTCCAATTATGCTCCTTACATTTCAGAAGATACGATACTGACAGTAAGTGTCGGTGAGCATAGTTAAAGAGAACATGATACAGTATTGTGTATATAAGAATCCTTCCTACTGGAGAATTGTTGCATCTCATAGCAAACAATTATACATTCTTTGATTGAAGGGATAAAGATAGGAGAGTATTTGTAGTGAAAGAATGAATTTGCTTTCTTTTCTCCATATCTTTTAAATATTGAATGAAATTAGGAAAGCTAAACAGACTTTCCTGAATACAGAATACTCTGAGAAAAGTTAGATTGACTCCAGGCATTATGGGGACGGACTAGAAAGAGTAATGCAATGCAGACGCCTTTCCCAACTGTTGGAGTTGAACGCTTTCTTATATCCTATTTGAAAGACAAATTTTCCTAGACTTGTAAGAATGTTTGGGCTCACATTTGACTTCAGTCTCAGATTACCTTGGGCACTCCTAATATTACTTCTTTTAATGGGTATTTTATTTGTAATAATAATCTTGCCTATTTGCAGGATTTTGTGGCCACAACAATAGTGAGCGGTTTCTTTATCTTAGCTTCAATTGTGTTTGCTGCAACCAATGACAAGTCATCTGTTGAAACTCTTGCAATAGTAAGTATTTTTATCCTGTATTTCTATTTCATACCTTGTTTACTGTTAAACCTTCTGTCATTTTTTAAACCATCAGTATCAAAGAATGTTATCCGTGAACTAACAGAAAATGGTAAATGTTAAGAACTTCTGCCCCAAACTCAGTTTGACTTATTGCATTTGTGGGAAGAACATAAATGTGCACAGGAATATACTTTAATATAGATTTGTGAAAGCATAGCATGACTTGAATACTTCCATAAGATTTTTTCTGGAGTGAGCAGAAACGGAATTTTTGTTCTTAAATCTTGTGATTTTGTTGGTTGCAGTCAGCTCTATAAAATGTAACTCTCTTAAAGCGTCACATAAATGCACACTGTTCCAGTCAATTCTTGTGATTAGGAATGGCAAGCCAATAAATCAGGAAATCAAGGTGCAATTTTCTTACTTGCATACCCAGTAAAGATTTCTGCAGATCTACTTAGCCCTCCAATGGCATCATTTTCTCCTTCATGATTTTGACTTAATACTGATTGGCTTCTGCCCAAGCCACACCTTATTCAGCACTTCTGTAAAAAATGTATTAATTTCTGCCTCTGGTAGTGTATTAAGAAACTTTTTAAATATGACATATTCAGTCCTATCATAATATGAATATGAATTGCACCAACTGCAATTCAAGCATTAAGAAGTGCTTCTACACAGGATATGCTAGAAGTAAACATTTTGACCAGTCTCTGATAAGAATTAAATTGTGAGCATAAAGAGACTGGAAGCTTAATGTACCCTGATCATTAGTGTGCAGGAAAAGTACACAAAAGATGCATATTTTTTTTTCCCTGTGGAAAAGGATTTGTTCCCTTGTATCAGGTTCTCAGCCAATGCTGCAGCAACATTTAATATTTATGCATATATGTTAAACAACTAACTTTTTCTTTCACTTCCACAGGTGTTTGGATTTCTGGCAAGTCTAGCATTTTTGGGTGATCTTATCTATATGCTTATGAAAAGACGTAAACCAGCCAATGAAAAGAAAGCAGAGAACCCAGACCGACAGGAAACACCAGAAAATCAGCCACTGAAAAGTGAAGCCAAAGTTTAAAAAGTCTGTTTCTTTCTATTAGTTAAATCCAGATGAAATACTTTACTACATTGACAGTTACTGTCTTCTTTCTGTTTTTCCCTTCTAACCAACTTTGTTCATACTGAGTACCAAAAACTTGTATAGACTCTTACATTTCTTAACAACAGTCTCTCAGGTATCATGATTTATACAATTCACCAGATAACTTGTCCTGACTAATAATTGTTGAAGATGCGCACTTCAAAAGGAAGAAGCTGTCTCCATCCAGAATTCTTTTCTTTAAACAAAATAGTTAATCAGTGTTCTCATTTGCTTATAAGACCTTAAGAGCAAAGAATGATATACACCAATAGTGTGTGCTTGAATTTCAAGATCTATGTTTAAAATACAGTACTAAAATTGTATGGAGTACAGCAGGGCAGGGTTAGAATTCTGCTTAATTCTCACTAATCTATGTTGGTGACATTCACCTTTGTTTTAGATGCTTACTATAAATTAGTACAGCATAGTTGTTTCTTGTTTGGGGGGAGGGGTGTCAGTTAAATTATACCTATAAAAGGGACATTGCTTGAATCTTACAGAAGTTTCTAGCTGCTGAAACAGTTTGATTCTTATTTTAGTTCTAGATTCTCTCTCTGACAGTCGGTATAAGGCACCCAGTGAAAGATACAGTTGGCCAATTGTTTTTTGGCAATAGACACATTGTGGATCCTGCAGCCATTTTTGCATTCCGCAGTTCTGAAACTTTGAAGTCATATCTAATGCACTTAAAATAGCTAAAAAGCCATAAAAACTTCAAGAGAAACTTGAAATAAACTTGCTTCATAAGCTAAGGGACAAATATTTTCATATTAGATGAAAGAGAATTGAGAGGAGGCAGAATTGCCTATAAACAGAAAAAGGGATAAAAGGTCACCTTGTGCCTGAAAGCTTGTTTAATATCTCTCCCAACTACACAGTTGGTCTGATAAAAGATATTACCAAAACAAAACAAAAAAATTCTCACCTTTTCTTACTAGGCAGCACAAGAAGTATTTTTAGGCTTTTATTTTTATTAAGCTTCACCAGGGAGAACATTGAACTTAGATGCTCTCCAGTGCCTATCACATGTATTAAACAACTTGCGCAATTTGCTTCTGCATAATTAAGATGAATTTGGCCAGGAACAGCCTACATTTATTTTCTTCATTGCCTGTATACATGCAATAGTTTGAGATTCTTGTGGTACAGTCCAGCTCTGTTGAATGGATAAATAACCAAGCAAACAGCTGTGTAAAATTCTAATCTTAAAACAACAACCTATAGTTACATGAGAACTATAAGACTAGACAGTGCTGGAGTCCTGATCAATAGAGCTGTACTTGAGAGCTAAGAGGTAGAAAGGCATTCCTCAGAGATCTGGTGGCGGAAGAGGAAAATAGGACAACTATATGTGCAGGGTAAGTGGTAGTAGAAAAGGAGAGTAGGAGATGGGACAAAATATTAGAACAAACAAAAAAGGCTGATAATGCAAAGTAGTTGTCTGTTTTCACGACATGCATTGTCTTCCATGGCTTGAGACATTAACTTCCCCACAGCACTTCACCATTTCCTATGATGAAACAATTGCCTTTAAACTTTTAGAGCAGCACTGAGACTGAGGGTGTCAGGCACTCTCACCGGGTTTTCAGAACAAGATGTGGAGGTTGCAGAAATGCCTTTGAGGCCTTGAAAATGAGATCAGAGTCTTTTCCAAGGCTCTCATCCCCTGATGGATCTGTGTTTGTTTTCTTATAATGTGTCTACTCTCAAAGATTCACCCTTAACACTACACTTTACTGAAGGAATGTAGAAGAGGTATTGGGTGGTTTGCATGAATGATGGGGCTTCATGCTTACTCTGTAGCATGCCATCAGCAATGCATATGTATTCTCTTTCTATTTCTTTGGAAAAAGGGCTGTTCTGTCAGACAAATGCTCGTATTTTCTGCATATCTGCACTAAAGCCTACTCTCAACCTGCACATGGAAAATGGTTATTACTGCTGTTGGGAATTGGTACTGTGGGTGTTCAGAAAGCAAACTAAAGAGCGTCTTTCCAAACAGTACTTCCGAAGATGTAATATGTTGTCATTGGCAATATCACATGTAATTCCATAACTTGAAATTGGTATCTGTCACTACAGTGAACATTGTCCCTTTTTTTTGACTTAGTATCTGTTAATGTTTCTATATGTTGTTTTTACTAGATTCTTGTTCCTCATATCAAAAGTATCTATGGATTTGTTTTTTAAAGTTCTAGCTAAATGTAAAAATAGCACTGTAATGTTATTATATTAGAAAGGCTGAGGGCTACCATTGTATAAAAGCCAGCCTGTTTGTTCTGCCTGTTTAGAACTCAGCTCTCAGGCAACACAGAATCCATATACTTCCAGTGTGCCGTACAGAAGTGGAGGTATTGCTGGTGGTAGACATCTATTGATTTGTAGGATGATATGGACTTAAATAGCACTATTCTTGGGAGGCCTTCTACAAAAGGAAGAATTTTGAGTTGTACATAATAGTTTTGAGTCCTCAGATATATCTATCTAAGTGCTTTGTGCTCAAGGTAAATAATGATTATATTCCCTTTACAGCTGAGGGAAGTGAAATAAAGAGAAATTCAAGTTATTTTTTTCCCCAAGGCATTGCAGGGAGTGGGTGGCAGAACTGTGACATGAACTCAGCCCTCATGACTCCCAGTCTTATGGTCTTACTGCTAAAAAAAAATGGCAAATGCATTTGCTTGCCTACCTCTGTATAGTACTTTGATTTTTTTTATTTATATCCCAAATAGCCAATTAATGAGCTTTGCTCAATTGGAGTTGGAGTTTAACTGTGTCTACAAAAATCCATGGGTATTATAACTTCAGCTGGGCCAGCATCTTACTTCCCAGGCCAGATCTGGGAGTTCAGATTACCAACCTCCCCCCCACCCCTCATATCCAGGCTAGTATCTTACATGCAAGCCTCAGGCACAGAGGCCTGGGGTTTTGGATGCCTTCTGTCATGCTTGATTTTAGCTAAAAGGCCAAGTACTCTTGACACCTGTAGTATAAAGCAGCATCCAAGCCATCCATTGTTGTTTTTCTTCCTCCCTCATGCAAAATCAGCATTGTTTTTTGCAGCAAGTTTTTCCTCATTTGTTATCCAGTTTCATTTTAAGTGCCTCTGTAGTGTGGTTTCCACCCTCAACAGTAGCCATTGGGGTGACCTTCATGTGGAATGGAGTGTCAAATCATTTGTCTTGTAAAGCTAGGGAGAAGCTGAAAGTGCCTTTTTCCAATAGAAAGGAATGAAAAAACAATACAATCAACTACGTTTTGAAAAAAGAATGGATGACCTTTGGAAAATAAATTAGTTCTGCCTTCTGATTAGCCATAGGAGATTTCTATGGAGAGAAGCGAGACCTGCTACATTCCTAAATACCCTGGCTGCCAGACAGTTGGCTATCTAACCATCTCCTGTGGCAACTACTACTGGACCAGCCTGCAGTTGTTTAATTGAGTTTATCTATAAGGTGATGACAATATACAGTTCCTAACAAAAGTTTGGATAAGGCAGTGCGCCATACCAACCTCAGGGAAAAGAAAATGATTGGCCTAAATCCTCCAGCCAATCCACCTTTGTACGCTAAGTGGAGCAATTCTATTGCTGTAAAAGCTCATTCGAACCAGCTGGACGTTCCCCATCGGATGATTCTAGGATCAGATGGTCTTTGGTTTTTTTGTTTTGCTTTTTTCTTTTTTTTTTTTTTTTAACACATGGTTCCAAAGTGCATGTAAATGAGTGAGCGAGCGAGCGAGCGAGTGTCTATTGAAACTGGACTAAAGTGTTGTTGTTTGGAACACTTAATCATAAAAACTGTGGAAGAGAATCATTTTTATAGGAAGTCTGTACATTGTACCTGCAAGGGAGGGCTGTCTGCTCTGTGGTGTTATGAGCCTGCTCTGGTTGAGCACACTGTGAGAAGCTTTGGTCTCTCCTAACTGGCCCATGTAAGGCTGTCTATACTCACCTCTCTGAAGTCCTGGTAGCAGACAGCAGCCACTCCTCCGAAGCTGCCACACTGAGCCCCTGTGGCCTTGTTGCATCTTTCTGTGGCTCCATTCCACATCCTGGAGGCACAGCTCTACAATGCATTGAATGGACTGCAGCAGCTAGGCAAAGGCATAGGAATGTCTATGCAAACTGTTAGCTGAGTGGCAGGAGAAGCCCCCCCTCCACTCAGCAGAGGTGAAATAATTCTGCTGGATTGGGGCAGGGTGCCATGGCTGCCTTAGCATGTGAACACAGAGTTCTGCCAGCAAAACACTATATTGTAGACTAAGTCTGAGACACCAGGCAGAGCCAATGAATCTTCCCACCAGTTTCCACAATGTGTATAACTTGAAGTACTATGAGGATGAGCACACAGGATTGTTGAGGACCAGTTATAAAGGGAGGAAGTGACATGAAAGGCCTGGGAGCCCCTTGAATATTATATGACAATGTTTAGAGGAAACAGTCTTATTTTTTACTTAATATTTAACCCATACTGTTTTAACCTAAAATTAGAATACCAGTGAGAGGAAAAAAATCAGCATCCTTTTTAAGGCACTTCGTTGTTAAAGCTCTACTCCATCTCTAGAAAGCAGGGGGATATTTCACAGTGTGGTTAGAGCTCTGTAAAGAGTCTTTGGCCTGACAGCAGTTGTATTTGTGTTGATTTCAATTCTATTCAAAACACAGCAACTAATTTGTGCAATAGAAATGTGAAACCTCCAATAAGATATCCTTGTAAGCTTTTTTTAGAAAAGTATATGTAATTGCACCAATTCACTAAACTGGCAGTGCCTTGTCTAATGCAGGAAACAATTCCTTTTGACTGTTTTCTTTTGTCACTATAAATGCTGAGTGTGCATCATAAAATCATAGAAAATTAGTCAGAAGGGACCTCAGGAGGTCATCTGGTCCAACCACTTGCCCCAAACATGACCGTCCCCAGTTTTATATCATCCTAGATAATTTTGAATGGTAGCAAAATTAATGCATGTTATTTTCATGCCTTGAGAACTATTAGTTATTGAATAAGGGAAATATAATAATTATATATGTAAATTATATATGGTTCTTTAGCTTTTGCTGCACATACCTTGAAATGTCAATCAAAGTGGTTCCATATATTTAAGTATTTTCTCCTTCTCTAAGCCTGTGGTCTTTTTAATGCATTTTTTTTGTCTTATGAAATTTCTAAAATTTTGTAATCATTTTAAATAAAGGATTAACAAATTGCTTGCTCACATTGTTTCTCATCTCAGCTGCTAGCATTTTGGTATTAGTAGCCACTTCTGTTAGTGGAAACTGCAGGAAATTGCTTCATGCTAAAGTTCCTGGTTAGGGGCCATTTGTCTGTGCTGATCTGGGTAGTTGAATTTAGTTTACAGATCCACAAAGTTGGATACTTCACTGGGAGTTTTCTCAAAGCATCTTCTGAAATATGGTTGATACTGCTGTGGGCAAGAGCCTGGGGCTAAAACAGTCCTTTCAAAACAGATTTCACATCTGCAGTTTCCTGTAGGTTAGCATGGAACATCCCATTCCAATGCTGCTTTTCTGAATATTTTATTCTTCCTTGGGGCACTTAGAGAAAAAAATGAGTGACACTTATAATCCTTCCTTTCACAAACCAGACAGTTGTTTTGGGGGAAGTGCATCTACCTTAACTTAGTGAATATAGGTCATTAGACTACTCATTTGAGTAGGAACAGAAGTGGGGACATCTGTAATTGGAAATGCTGTCTGCCAAAAAAATTGCAAGTTGTAAGCTATTATTGTTGCCATTGTTCTGTGGGTGGTTTGTTCCATTCCACTGAGCCTATCTGCCCTTTATATGATGACAACTCCCAAATTATGGTGACATGCCTGCAGATATGCTCTGAGAGCACAGCTTTAGTCTTATTCATTGAAACTGAAATAAGTTGAGGTATTTCTCTGCATTGTGAAGTAAGAGAGGAATCATGGCCCTACCGCAGTTGTCAGAGTGTATTATTTGTCAGGGATTGCTGTGGAAAAGGCCTTCTGCTAATTTTAAATGTGCTTTAATGAGAGAAAATTGTCAGTCACAAGTATAAGGAACCAAAGACAAATATTGCAGCTGTGGATTAGTAGGGAACAAACAGTAACTCAGGAGTCAAGGGCAACACCAATGTAAAAACTGTAGGATGACCACGTGGTATAGTTTCATGGATACAAAGTTTGTATTGCCACTCATAATGGCAAATCCTGCTGTTTTGGTATGAATCTAGAGGAACTCCTGAACAGCAATGGAGTTACACCAGTATAATAGGGCAGAGTATAGCCCAAAAGCAATTGTTTCACTTCAATTATACACAGGCAGCACCTGCTTGCTATTGTTGGCTACAAAGGACCAACTCACAAGATCATCATAAAATTCTAGTTTATTGGACGGATGCAAAAGTCAGACCGTAAATCTTGGTGTTGATCCCCTCAAAAAATGCGCGCACACACTCTCTCTCTCACAGTAGCTAGCTATGAACACTACTGGTGTCAAGATATACCTATTCCCAAGTGCTGGAGTCCACCGTTGATGGCCAGTCAAGGCTTCTGTCAGTGCGATGTTGCTTCAGAAGGGGGTCACCAGCTGGTACTTCTGACCAGACAGGCAGGGTGCTGGGCAGGTCAAAGGGCGCTATTGGGGGTCATTCTTTGCTGCCTTTTATCCCTCTCTGGCAGACTTTGGTGACTCCCCAATTCTTGGGCTTACCCAATCCAGGGATCGTTGACTTTGAGGGACGTCTCTCTTGGCAGCTGCTGGATGGCAGCTGTCAGCCCCAGGGGTCATGTCCACAGGTATGTGCAGTCTTGGGAGTCTGTTGATGAATTTTGATTGATTCACTGCCATGAGGAAGCTCTGGAAGTGGTTGATCAGGGGGTATTTCAGCCCCAAGGGTCTGTTTCCAGCGTTGATTAGTTCAAACCGGGGCTTCCGGACCTTTAACAGTGAAGTTTCAGGGAGTTCCTGGCTCGGTATTGATTCTTTCCTCTCTTTAGTCTGTGGTATGTAGGTGTTAATTGCCGCTCATTAACTTGTTTATCCAGACTAGCTACTGTGTTACACAATTGACCATGACTCATTCAGGGACCCGCTCCATATGGAGATTCCTGCCCTTGCTAACGTTGTTACATGGTACAACTTACTTTTAAACTTAAAATACATTTGTAACAGCTTCCACAAGCTCTATTTTCACTAAAAGTACACATTATATCAAAATAATAATAATATAATAAAAGAAAGAGAGACAGGAAGGAAGAAAAGCTAGAAAAGAGAAAGCATCCCCAAAAGGCGCTTTTGCCGTATGGAGGAACTTCACATTTGATGGAGGAGGCAGGCAAAAAGGTTTCTTGCTACACTATGATCTCTGCATCCTTTTAAATATAATTTCTATATATGCACATCTTTTATTAAAATTTTGTTTCCAGGGCCAAATCACTTCCAAAATTCCAAGTTCCAAATTTTGACTGAGCACAGCTCAATCATTCAAGTCTGTGCGGCGCTACCACCAGCAAGCATCAGTCTAGGGCTTCAGATACTCCCAAATCCATAGTAGGCATCCTATGTGCAAGCCCAGGGGCTTTGGAGTTCAGATTCCCCTTAGCCTCCCTGGTCCCTAGCCAAAATGCCAAAGGAGGGGGAAAGCCCGAAAAACAATCTCCCATCACCATCAATTGTGTAGCCATGATACTTGCATTTGGAGGCATTTGTAGATTCTCGCAGGCCAGCCTGTCCACTGTGCAAGGGATAGGCCTTCACCCTCTAACTATACCTGAGTCATTCAAGGCTGAAAATATGGTATTTCCCCTGCCAAGTAAGTGTATATACATCTGCACCTTGCAAGTGTCTTTCTTTACTTGGGGAGAACTGCTTCCTTAGAGTAAAGAGCTCAGCCAGAAGCACTGCTCTCTAGTACTGGTAATCAAGAACCAAGCAGGTCAACTACTTGATTTTCTTTTCTTTTTTTCTTTACTGAATTCAAAGGCCAACTTCTCATCTGGTAAAGAAGGTTTGTATGTTAATGTGACAACAGTCAATGGAATTTGTATTCAGTTTAAAATTATTCAGGCAAGCTGCCAATGCATACTCTTGGACATGGTGCCAGGGCAATCTGTAGGCATAAATAGACCCCATCTACACCTTTCACCCTGCTTCTGACTAGATTCTTCCATTGTTTGCCTACTCGTACCATTCCCTGGTTTCTTGCAGCTTGGCCTGTGGTTACCTTCGCAACCATCAGTGCAAAACTGCTACCCAATGACCTGTGGGGGCACATTTCTCACAAGAAAACTACTCTCTCCAATCTCTCAGTCCTGATCCTCAAAGGAAACTTACAAACAATTCCCAGAGACGAGCCTATGAACTCCACTTCATCAACCTCCTGGATACTAAAAATCATGGACTAAATATAGACATTGGATTTATGACACATTATAACTTGCCTGACATCTGACTCCCCAGGTACTTCTCCACTACTCATCCCCCTTCTCTCCCCGCCCACCCAGCCTGTGTCTCACCCATTGACTCCTCAAACGACATCTTCACTGACTACCTGTCTTGTATGCATACCAGCCCAGCCTCTGGCTTCTTTACTTTTCACTCCATCCAGGAAGAGCACACACCAACTGCTGAAACTTCCTTAGCCTGACGAAGGGTTTTTGAACCCGAATGCTTGCTTAAAAATTGTTTTCCAACTATTTAAGTTGGTCTAAGAAAAGATATCAGATTCACCCAAAGAACCTTGTCTGCCTATGACCTATTGTGACTTTCAGAGGCAGCTCTCCAGCCCTGCTGCTGCTGTGAATAAAAGAAACCAAAGGGAAAGAAATAGCCCCATCAGCCCAACAGAGAGTGGGGATATGCCAAGGAACACAAATCCAAAACTCTCCAGAAAATACTTATCTATATATGTTCTTTGAACCATCCAATTGCAAGCTAACAGCTGGATGCACAGAGCTAGCCTTTCTCTTGCCTGTCAATTCATTACTATTTCCATTTGCTCACCACATTCTTTGTCTGTCTGACTCCCAAATCACTCAGGAAGCTGCACCTTCATAGAGGTGATACTGAATAGCAGTATTTACACTTTGACACCTCCTGGGCTGTTTACCTCATTCTTGTTACATTCCTAGGATGGGCTTAACAATCAAACACTCTCTGGGGGCTTTCCTGTCAATCTGACCACCAACAGAGCAAAGCAGGGAGATACACCCAGAAACAAGAGCTAAAGAGCAGTTTAGCTAAAGGGCTTTTAGGGAATGCCTTATCAGCTGCAGTCCCCAGGTACTGGAGGAGGTGGATGATAGACCAATCACCTGGAAAGTAAAGGAATGTGTCTTCATATGAGCTCTACAAAAAACTTCATATGACAAGCACGGCTGTTAAGTCCCATAGGTCTCCAGCCCCCCCATATACTTATGAAACTACTTCTTTCCTTTCCCCCTCTAAGTAATGAATTCTACCTCTTGTAAGATCTCTGGCTTTTTATGCTCTGGGCCCTATTGACTTTCACTCCTGTTTCCTAATGTGCAAAGAAAGGGCCTTTAGAAAACCTCTTCAGGGGAGATTTTTGAAGATGCCTAAAGGAACGAGGAGCCCAATTAATGAGACTTGTGCTCCCAGATCATTGTGCTGCTTTGGAAATCTTCCTCTTTAACTGCCCAGCCCACCTTTATTCTAGGAAACTAGATGTTATTCCAATGGCAGCATAGCTTTTCTTGTGTAATGAAGACATGGTGCCATGTGTACAGCTACACAAGCATGGGGTGGGGAAAGGACAAAAGCCATTAACAGCTTGTGCTGCTGCACAGCTGGGGAAGCTCTCCTTGGCCAACAGCACCACTGAAGGATGCCTCTACTAAGCAGTCTTTTCCCCAGGATCTCCTGGGCAGCAGCAAGCGCATGCAGGAAGCTGGGGGGGACACCCTGCCCAGCCACACTGCAGCCCAGGCAGCAACAAGCGGGCAGACAGGGAGGAGACACCCACTCTCACCCCCCGCCGCCCCCCACTACACACAGCCACAGTGGTTCTCCCAGGCATCAGTATGCACAGGGGGATGGGAAATCCTCCCCACTTCTTCCCAGGGGTGCAGGGAGTTGGGGATACCCTGCCTGGCCTCAGCCTGGGATTTCTTCTCTCCCCAAGCTTGTTGCTCTCTCAGAGACCCTGGGTTTGCACTGTGGCCGGCAGGGTTCCTCCTCCCCCCATGCTTGCCTGC